ATTAGGGGTCGCGAGTCAATGGCATTGTTATTTTAGGGGTTGCAGGCTACAATAGTTTGCGAGCTCCTGCCCTTTAGCATGTGTTTGGACTGTGGGGGAAACTGGAGCATCTGGAGGAAACCCCCGCCAACACGGGGAGATGCCGACTGACCCAGCCGAGGCTCAAACCAGCAACCTTCTTGCTATGAGGTGATCGTGCTACCCACTGCACCACCATGATGCCCCTATGATTCATATATTTATTATTATTATTATTATTATTATTAGTATTATTATACTTTTAGAAAAAATACAGCAGGAAATAGTGTGCAAAATGTTCTTGCTCTGTGAAACAGCACTTGGAAAATATTTAAAAATGAAAAAAGTGTCGTCTTTTTTTAAGCATAAGGTCAACTTTGATTTATTTTTCATCAGAAAGCGACGCTTCAAGTCAGATTTCAGAACGATTCAGTATTTGTGCTGGAAAGACAACAATCTTTTGGACTGTATGGAGAAAGTCTGATGTGTGACGAACAAACTGTCTGGAGCAGCGACTGGAGAGATCTTTAGTGTTGATAATTATATGATTTGCACTTACTGCGTGTGTGTGTGCATGTGTGTGTGTGTGTGAGAGAGAATTCGGTGTGTGTTTAATAGAGTCAGGATGAGACTGACAGAATGAGGAGACGCACCAACTTTGAGGATGAATAATGGATATTCATTAGCCCACTTTGTGTGTGTGCGTGTGTGCGTGCGTGTGTGTGTGTCAGCTTCTCCTCGTCTGTTCAGACATACAGAAGATCTTCAGCAGCACTTTTACAAACTCAAACACACACAGACTGACACACACACAGTCTGACAGCTCAAACGTCCACATTTACCGGAGAGAAAAACACACACTTGTGTCCAGTTCAGCTCTGAGCAAAACCCCTTCACAAGATGATCTTTAGCACAGGATGACAACAAACATTGCATTTTTAGCTCACAATTCTGACTTTCCCCCACTTAAAGTTGAATTCTTTTATATTATATATAATTTATAGAAATGTTTTCCTCATAACTGCGAGTTCAACACAGACTTGAGTGTTTTAAACAAAAAAAAGTCATTTTTTTTATCACAATTCTGACTTTTCCAGCTCAAAATGTATTAATTATTAGATCTCTTTTTCTTATTTTATAATTGTTTTAGTAATCATGGTGGTCTCATAATTGACAGAAGTGTTTCTCTCAGAACTTTTTATTTTAACTTTAATTTTTAGTTCTGAGAGTTTGGGTTTCAGCTCACAATACTGAATCACAGCAGCCGTTTTATATCTACCATTTCAGTTTGATTGCATTGAAGAGTTTACAGGGTATCTGCAAAATTGCGAGATATAACAAAATCTGAATAGCAAGATATAAATGTAAATTTTGCAATGCTAAAAGGTCAAGTTTGTCCAAATTGACTTTATTGTTAGATTTGCAAGTTAATATTAAGTCGGTATGCATTAATTCTGAGGGTAGAAGTGTGTTCTGAATGTTGGCTTTTTTTAAATCTCACATTTGTGCTATTTCTGCCAAATTGAGAGATTTATATATATATTTGGTATAAGAATATAGTCTTTTTCCCCTCAATTTCATTTTATTTTTATGCATTTTTGAGTTTATCAACTGTCTCACAATTCTACAATTTCAATTAATTAAAAAATCATAACTATACTATAACATAACTATAACACAAGACAGAACAAAACCTGAATAGCGTGATATAAATGTAGATTTTGCAATGCTCAATTTTATTTTACATTTGCAACGTAAAGGTTTGTCCTAATTCTGACTTTTTAGTTTTGAAAAAATTAATTGTTTGTTTTGCAGTTGTTTATAGGCTTTAAAAAATATTTTAAAATCTTCTCATTTAAAAAAAGAAAAAAAACAATTTATTTGCTCTTACGATTTTGAGTTCAACACCCACAAATCTTGCAATTCTTTTTATAAAATCTTGCAATTCTGACCCTTATTTTGCATTATTGTAAAATATACCCTTTGCACATGTGAGTGGAAAAGTCAGACTTGTGACAAAGTTGCATTTACCACTATAATTAATTCCATTCTGTGGTGAAACCCAGCTTTAGCGAGTCTAAACCATCTTCATATGTTAAATGACTCTCCATGTTGTTGATCAGACAGAAACGCTGGTTCTATGTACAGTTATTTGTATAATCATTGAATTTCTCTTTATAAACAGACCCCAAAACTAGAGAACGCGACACTGCTTTAATACAAGACTTACAATAAGCAAAGCAATATGATCTGTACATATAAATGACAAAAAAAAAAATCTTCAGCATTTCAAGATGTCTACCAAGGTGAAAATTGTCATTATTTAATGTGTTAATAATTAGACTGTGGTATTAAAGGGCATGTGTTTATTTACAGTGTCTTCTTTTTTTTTATTTACTTGCATATTTGCTAAAATAAAAAAGGCATAATATTCACCTGATCACCTGTGTTTATCAATCCTCTTCTGTAAAACTTAATATTCACATGGGTTTATGATTTAAAAA